GCGCCAAGTAGACGCTATCCAGGAGCTCGTAGCCATGCAGAAAGAGGAGCAGTACCGCAAACGCCACCCCCCCCCCTACAGTGCAGCCCTGAAACTCTTTCCGTTGTGCCCCATTGTCACCTCCAACCCACTTTCCCCAACTTCCATGTTCTTCACACCACCCGCTGCCTCCAACACCAGTATCTTCACCACCCAGCCCTGAAAACCACGACCCTTACCCTCTGCACTCAACCCCCATCACCATGCAGTATAGCTATCCTGAAGTGCAGCACTCACTGCTCAGCACACCAGACAGGACATATGCGAATCTGTGATTGTACTGTTCCCCACTCCACCCCCTTGCTTCTTTTCAATAAATAATTTTTTTTTCTTTTCAATAAATTGATTCTTTGGCTTTGAAAACATTCTTTATTATTGCATAAAGTAAAAGACTCCTTAGCCCAGGAAATAAACAGGCACTGCAAGTCTGCTTGTCTGCTTAGCAGACACTGATTCCTAAAGATTGGAACTACTGCACTTAACTTCCGTGCAGGGCACCAGATATCACTGCTCGTTTTCAGCCCCAAATTGCTCCCTCAAGGCATCCCTAATCCTTGCAGCCCCACGCTGGGCCCCTGTAATAGCCCTGCTATCTGGCTGTGCAAATTCAGCCTCCAGGTGTTGAACCTCAGAGGTCCATGCCTGAGTGAAGCTTTCACTCTTCCCTTCACAAATATTATGGAGGGCACAGCACGCGGATATAACCGCGGGGATGCTGTTTTCGGCCAAGTACAGCTTCCCATACAGAGATCGCCAGCGGCCCTTTAAACGGCCAAAGGCACACTCCACAGTCATTCAGCACCGGCTCAGCCTGTAGTTGAACCATTCCTTGCTGCTGTCAAGGCTCCCTGTGTAGGGTTTCATGAGCCACGGCATTAACGGGTAAGCGGGATCTCCAAGGATCACAATGGGCATTTCAACTTCCCCTACCGTGATCTTCCGCTCTGGGAAAAAAGTCCCGGCCTGCATCTTCCTGAACAGCCAAGTGTTCCAAAAGATGCGTGTGTCATGCACCTTTCCGGGCCAGCCTGTGTTAATGTAAATGAAACACCCACGGTGATCCACAAGCGCCTGGAGAACCATAGAGAAATACCCCTTCCGATTAACATACTCGGATCCTAGGTGGGATGGTGCCAGAATAGGAATGTGCGTCCCATCTATCGCCCCTCCACAGTTAGGGAACCCCATTTGTACAAAGCCATCCACTATTTCCTGCACGTTACCCAGAGTCACGGTTCTTCTGAGTAGGATGCGATTAATGGCCTTGCATCAACTTGCATCAACACGATTCCAACGGTCGACTTTCCCACTCCAAACTGGTTTGCGACCGACCAGTAGCTGTCTGGAGTTGCCAGCTTCCAGATTGCAATAGCCACCCGTTTCTCCACTGGCAGGGCAGCTCTCAATCTCGTGTCCTTGCACCGCAAGGTGGGGGCAAGCTCCTCACACAGTCCCATGAAAGTGGCTTTTCTCATCCGAAAGTTCTGCAGCCACTGCTCGTCATCCCAGACTTCCATGACGATGTGATCCCACCACTTGGTGCTTGTTTCCTGAGCCCAAAAGCGGCATTCCACAGTGCTGAGCATGTCCGTGAATGCCACAAGCAATTTTGTGTCATACGCGTTACGCGGCTCGATAGCATCGTCGGACTCCTCACTCTCACTGTCACTTTGGATCTTAAGGAATAGTTCGACAACCAAACGTGACGTGCTGGCGAGATAAGTCAGCATATGCCTCAGCAGTTCGGGCTCCATTTCCCGCAGACAGATTGCACTGCACAGAAACCGTTGAAAGATGGCGCCAAAGGTGGACGGAAACAAAGGGATTTCTGGGATGCGAAGCGATGCATCATGGGGCGTTGGGACAGGACCCAGAATGCCCCGCACCCACGCCCCCTTCCCACAACCCACAGCGCCAGAATGGGAAAAGGTGCTCTGTGGGATAGCTGCCCATAATGCACCGCTCCCAATAGCGCTGCAATTGCCGCAAATGTGGCCACGACAGTGCGCTGGGCAGCTGTCAGTGTGGACAGACTGCAGCGCTTTCCCTACTCAGCTGCACGAAGTCAGGTTTAACTCACAGCGCTGTACATCTGCAAGTGTAGCCAAGGCCTAAATAAATCGAGCTCCTGGAGTCTATCACTATAAGGCATGTTTTCCAATCCTTTAATCATTCTTGTGGTCCTTCTCTGAAATGTCACCAATTTATCAATGTCCTTCCTGAATTGTGGACACCAGAACTGGACACAGTATTCCCGCAATAGTCACACTAACACCGAATACAGAGGTAAAGCAACCACTCTACACCTACTCAAGAGTCTCCTGTTTACTCGTCCTAGGATTGAATTAACCCTTTTGGCTACAGCATTGCACTGGGAGCTCATGTACAGCTGATTATCCACCTTGACCCCAAAATCTTTTTCACAGTCACTGCTTCCCAGGATAGCGCCCTTCATCTTGTAAGGATGGCCTATATTCCTTGTTCCTAGATGTATATATTTACACTTAGCCATATTAAAATGCATGTTGTTTGCTTGCACCCAGCTTACCAGTCAATCCATATCACTCTCTATCAGTGACCTATTCTCTTCATCATTTACTATTCTCCCAATCTTGGTGTTGTCTGCAAACTTTATCGGTGATGATTTTATGTTCTCTTCCTGGTCATAGATAAAAATGTGTAACCCCCAAGGAGATTATCTAGATTCCTGGGGCTCTGTCTGCTGGCAGCTCAGGGAGAGGCACACTGTCCCTGGGAGGGAGGGGGAGCCAAGGCTGACTCAGAGTCTGCCCGGCAAACAATAGGGAGTGAAATGCCCTCCCCAGGGAGCTCAGGAGAGGGGAGAAGCCATTTTTTTGAGACAGTCTGGTGCCAGCCAGGGCAAGGGCAGGACTGGCTGTGTGGGGAGCTGGTGAGTCCCAGGCCTGCATGCAGGGCTCCCCCTGAGAACTGGCCTGTAGGGACCTGAAAGCAAGATCCATCAGCTGGGCTTTTCCTTCTGCATTGATGACTCCCAGTTTGTAGAGTTTTGATGGGAAACTTCCCCCGCCAGGCTGAGTTAGCCCTCCAGCTCCCTAGGTGAGACCAGTCACCACATGGTCACCTCTGCTCTGTCTGCTAGTTCAGGGCTGCTGCCTGCTGCGAGTATGTCTGGATGCTGGGGTAGGAGACTACAGTTTGGATTTTAGTTTAGTTGTGTAAGCTGCACCTTGAGCCCTGCACCCCTTTGTGGTGAGGGAAAATCCTGGGACCAGAAGCAGCCTGACTCCTGCCTGAAGAGGATCCCTGCCAGCAGAGATCAGCCCCTCTGCAGTGACCGAGGAGTCCAGAGTCATCTCTGAACCTGAGGATCATTCACGGAGTTTGTGAGTGCACCATCTTTTAGTCAGTCAGTCAGGGAAATTGTTTTGGGGACCCCCTACTCCCTGAACTCAAGCCAGGGAGTAAGGGTTTGGGGATTTTATAACCTGCTGCGTATTAAACCTGTGGAGGGACTTACCACCTCCTCCCACTTGTGAGTCCTTTGGGCTGTACTGAACCCAGTCAGCCACACTGCTAAACCATTGCAGAGAAGATATCGTGGTCATAGGTCATGAAGGGCCCCAACAAATTACGCGTACCAACGGGACACTGATCTTACATTTGCTACATCAGGTCACGTGACTGGGGAAAGTCACCGGTATTATCAGTGTGGGCACCGGTGACCCTAAGAATAGTGTTTTACCCTGTTATGTTATATTTGTCTCCTGTTTAATATAATTACTGTGTTGAATATATTGTATGTATCTGTGTTATTTCTTGGGCATCTCCAACTATCTGGCAAGTAAGTGGTGGTTACCCTGTGGTTAGAATTTTCCTCCCAAGCTGCCCTGGTGACCTTGCCAGGAAGGAGCGAGGCGGGTGGAGGCATCGCCAAATAAATTCATAGGGAAAAATAAAGAAGATACACCCTGCTGAGTGGGTGGCGGGATCCAGAAGAACCCAGACCTGTCCACCAAAACCTGTAAGCAGATTGGCATTAAAGAAGGTAACCGGGTGGAGAGGGGGCGCTACAAATGTTAAGTAACAAAGGCCAAGAACTGATCCTTGTGGAACACCATTAGAAACACATCTGCTCGATGATGATTGCCCATTTACAATTACATTTTGAGAACTTAGCCAGTTTTTAATACATTTTATGTGTGCCTTGTTAATTTTGTATCATTTGCATATTTTTGGTCTTTGATCTGAAACTGTACACTGTATGCTTTTCAGTTTCAAAGTCCCAAATCACTATCCAGAGTGACAACCACTATAAAGTTATCATAATTTGGAGGTTTCTCTGGATAGGCTAAAATACATCCTATTCTGAATTAGTTACAAGATTATTTTTACCCACTGCGGTAAATCACCACTGAGCACACCTTTTTCTCTACCTATTTCAGATATCACCAGATTCCACTTACTTTAAAAAGTATGCCTGGAACTTTTAAATTATTGCAACATCTCAGTCTACCTCTTGATAAACTGCAATATCCATTTAAGTTTCATTTTTTAGGTCTTCTGAAAGCCACTACTTGTAATCAAAAGACAAGACAAGAAGAGGCCAGTTGTGATTTTCTTTTTAAAAAATCTTTTATCCAGACTCATATTATTTAGTTATTCTATTCTATTCTAAATCATCGGTCTTTCTTCATAATAATCTGAACCCCATTGCCATCAGAACCACCCTACCCAGATTTGATTCCGCCATGTCCATTCCACATAAGGGAGTTTTATAATAACTAAGCTATTAAAATATTAAATAAAAATAATTACGTGAGAAACTTATTCTTAAATATTCTCAAAGTAGTTAATGTATTTAATGTGCATGATTAAAAATCACCATTTACATTCTTCATTTCCCATTAATTCTGCAGAATCTTAGAGTAACATGCCATACAAAATGTTAACTCATCCATTCATAAGGGAAAAAAACCCACCCATTTTCAGCATGCCTGAAATCCTTTTGACTATCAGCCTGAGGCCTTCAACAAGCTAAGGATCTGACTCCCAGAAATCCTGATAGCTGAAACATAGAGATGAAAGGCATTGGTTAGTGCACTGTCTCCAGTCATTAGTTTGCTTATAATGCATGACAAAATTATATTTTTGTTGTTACTTCTAATTTTTGATGCTCTTTGAATATTTTTTCTAACAGAAGGACAATAATTGAACTAAGAGCTTAAAAGATGGTGGTGGTAACGCTAGAATTGCAGAATGGGAAATGTAGAGCTAGTGAAGAGAGGCAAAAGGCAACTGGGATGGAAAGATAAAGGAGATGCAAGTCAGAATACCTAGGACTGGAAAGGGCTGCAAGAACGTGAATGTTTCAAACATAGCACTTCTATTTCCCCAAATCTTAAATAATGTTTAAGGTCCATAAAAAGAAGCGTGTGAGAGGAAGATAGGCACAGACATTTTTAACCAGGGTTTGTGCTATCCATTTAGACAGATTCAGCGACTCTCAGGGTCCAATCTAATACTGTGCAAGTAGGTGGAATTTCCTTCACCACAAGAAAAATCCCAACTTCTCCATCCCACTAGTCTGGTATTCCCCTTATTGCTGTACTGTAAAGTTGCAAAAGCACCTTTTTTTTTTTTTTTTCTTCTTCTAAATTTCATTGCCTCAGAGAGCAGCAATTAGGGAGCATGTCTAAATTCATCAGCACTTCCTCCTTTGGGATTGATTTAAGTTAATGATACTGATCTTGCCATGTTAAAAGTCCTTTCCCTGGGAGAGTTCATTAATACCTACTCAGTTTTCCTTCATTAAGGCACCTATCCCATACGCAGGCAAAGAAAAGCTGTGCAGCTCCCAGGCCCAATCCGCACTTCCTGGGAAGGAGGGCTGCTTTCTGGATGTTGGCAAGCCAAATGAAGGGTAATAAATGTAAATAATTCTGGAAAAAAGGAAGTGGTGCTGGACAAAGTAACAATACATTCTAACTAGCAGTTGTTTGCTAAGGCTGGCACTAAAGTCTTATACGTAAAGGAACTCAGTCAGAAAAGCTTTCGTGCTTACTTAATCATAGGTACTTTAAGGAAACTAGAGGGATTTTGAAGAAAAATGGATTTTTCTTGCTTTGCCACAAGAGGAATGTTGGTTGAAGCAAATTACTGGTGGAAGCAGAAAAGTAGCATGTTTGATAATAAAGAAAAGGCCCATATTATACAGAGCAAACTAGTTCTACTATAAGACCATAGCTATGAACAATGACACCCCAGTTAATCCTGCACAGTAAGGACAAGTCTGACAAATTAAAGCTACATGGTGGCTGCCTGACCTTACAGACCCAATTTTAAAGAGGTCTCTTACAGTTTTAAAGAGGACAATGCATGCAATTGGCAGGGACAATTCTTTCCAGTGATCTCACTTTCATTTCAAGTATGCTATGTTCAGAGTACCCCGGGCTAAACTGATGTCATAATAGGCTACTTCATTTGATGGCAAAAGTCTCTGCTACAGTATTTAATTTTGACTGCATCATTAACATCTGGCCATGCATCGTTAACTAATCTAAACTGAGTTACTGTATAAAACAAAGAAACACGATTATTGGATTGTCAAGAAATTGACACCAATGACTTTTAATCATTTAAAAAAAAATGGGCAGTGATGATCAAAAACAGAAGGAAGATTTAAAATTCAGTGTAAGTAAAATGGCTGATTTTCTCTCTCACACAAAATGTTGCCAAACTACAGAAAAACTGCACTGGCACATCCTCCATTAGGGAGTCCTTCCTGCCATTGACTTCAAGGTTCTTTGGATCAGGACCTTAGAGCACAGATTATTTTGTAAAGGTAGAAGCTGCCTGCCGCCAATCGCCAATAGGACAAATAGGTTGCAACAATGACAGGATTTTCAGTAATAACTATTACTGTCCCTCGCAGCTAGGCAATGTACAAAGGCTCCGTTTGAGCTCCCTACAGTAAAGGTTGCATTTCATTCTACTTTTACGTGTTTGTTGCACTTGACTTTGACTGACAGTGGAAAATTGTTATTCCAGTATTCATTTCTATTCACCTTCTCCCATGAGCTTCTTCCCAAGACAGCATATTGTACATTAGCTTTGAAAATAAACAAATGTCAGAGTTACCATTAGCCAACAGCATCTGCATAAATTCACTAAAGAGCTTGAACACTATCATTTTATTACATAATTTGGACCTTGTTATCAAAGTGATCTGATGATAAATCACATAATAAACACAAAAGCACACAGGGATCCACCCTAACAGCACTTGAACTTTGGATAGCTAGACTACTTATTAATTATTATTAGGAGTAGTAGTATTACCATAGTGCCTAGGAGCCCAGTCATGGATTAGGACCCACTGTGGTAGGTGCTATACAAACACAGAACAAAAAGATGGACCCTGTCTCAAGGAGCTTCCATTCTAAGTGTAAGACAAGAAACAACAGACAGACAGACAGATAGATGAGGGAGCACAAGAAAAACAATGAGACAATACTGGTCAGCATGATAAGCAGTGGTCTCAGCACACCTACAGCCTAACCATTGTCAAGTTTTTTGTAGGTGTCATGGCAAAAGAGAGTTTTGAGGTGGGATCTGAGAGCTTGAACAAGAGTTTTAACTGTGTGGATAGATAAGAAAGGCCGTTCCTAATATGTTGTAGCGAAGGCTGTAGATAAGAAGGATCCTGCTCTAAAAGACTTCAGTAAACTTTCAGACTTTCATGTCAAAAAGACTTCAGTAAACAATACGTGGGTATCTGAATAAGCACACAGTGGCTGTCATTAAAAAAAAAGACTTTTTAAAAAAAATCACCACACCACTGTAATATGAGCACCTTAAATATCACACAGCAATAACGAATGGTAAATACTGACAGTGTAAAAAACTACATGTTCATGGAGCTCCAATGCTGGACTATTGTCTAAAAACTGTTGTGTACCTGCATTTTATGCACCTTCCATCATGAACTCACCTACCTCTGTGATGAAAATGTGACCGTTTTCTGAAAGGCACAGATCTGGGGAGCTGGATGGAACACTGGTTTAGTAAACTCTCTTTCACCTTTTGTGGGCCACATTCAAATCCTACTTTTGTTCATTTGCCACAGTTGAGAATTTCTACCCAAAAGGGCAGGGCCCTTAACTACGAGCCATGTAAAAGGTGTGTTACTATAACTCTCTGGGGAACCTTGCACAAAGTTACAGCATGCCTATGTTCCTGTGTGCTGTACAGCAAGTGAGTCCTAAATTCCATGGCAAGACCTGCTGGTCTTTGAGGGTATGTCTACACTGCAATCAGAGTTGTGACTGCAGCATGGATACACATACCCGAGCTAGCTTTGATCTAGCTAATTCGAATAACAGCAGCCGTGAAACCTTGGCAGCATGGGCTGCAGCATGAGCTAGTTCCACATGCCCAGGACCCTGGGGATGTTCTCAAGCAGCTAGCTTGTGCTATCATGGCTTCATTGCTATTGTTATTTGAGCTTGTTCAATCAAAGAGTTTGCGTACACATGCTGCAGTGACACCTCCAATTGCAGCATAGATATACCCTGAGAGACTCTGCTGTGGAAGATGGCAAATCCAGTAGCAGCTTCAGGTAAATAAGGTTTTTATTGGAGTAAGTGTGAAAATGAAAAATACCAAACAGTGCACTATTTGTGTTATTTTGATATTAAATTAAATTTATTTTCTGCTACCCTTACATTTTCAATGTATCTTACTGTGACACTTTCTTGGGGTGCCAGAGCTGGAGGCCACTATGTTACCCCCCTGCCTCAGCAAGACAGAGACTTGCTGGTGCTAATGTTCTTTGTCGGCTTTCTCTCTCTCTATTCGGGACAGCTCTAATTTCATGTGTGATTCACTGCGGCCTGCCCCAGCCTGGTTTTCTGGCTTTTTATTTATCTTGCTCATCTTTATACTTGCCCTGTAACCTTTTCTTGGTATCCACCCTCCTCACTTGTGAATCTCTCAAAATCTAGTTTATAGAGTGCTTGAAGTGTGAACCTCAGCCAGCCAGCAAACTGTGTGTAAATCCTGCCTGACTTCCCAACTGTGACACTTCCTCAGGGCACTCAGGATTGAGAGGTTTCACCGTAGCAGCCGTGTTAGTCTATATCCGCAAAAAGAACTGGAGTACTTGTGGCACCTTAGAGACTAACAAATTTATTTGAGCATAAGCTTTCATGGGCTACAGCCCAGAAGCTGTAGCCCTCAAAAGCTTATGCTCAAATAAATTTGTTAGTCTCTAAGGTGGCACAAGTACTCCTGTTCTTTTTTCAGGATTGAGAGTCACTTTGTTTCTTCATCCACCCACCCCCGCCCTGTCTCAGCTGAACCAAACAGGCTGATGTATAAACTCTCTCTCTGGAGACAGCGAACTTATTAATTCTGTGCATGTCCAGTGACAGTGACTGCATGCTACAGAGGAATACTCTTCAAGGCAGCACAGGGAGTGGAGTGCACTTACAGTTAACCTGCAGGGCAAAGTAAAGGCTGGCAGAACTTCTAAGGAGATTGTTTGGGCGGCTAACAAACTGGAGTGACAGGGAGATGACACCCAGTTTAGCACAAGAAGCTCTCTCTCACTGAGGCATGTGAGTAACAAGGTAACTCACAGTCCTGTGAGGAAGCTTCACAACTACACTGCAGATTTCTTTACATACACAGTTCATAACTCCATTGTAGGAACTGTCAGGGAGGCAGGAGGGATTTGAACATGCGGGCAGTTGGATAAGGGACATTTGGGCACCAGGAAAGGCATTGGCAACTGTTTTGGAGTCAGGTTTAAGCCCATTAGTGAACATTTATGTTACAAAGATTAGCAGTGAAATAGTGAATGTTGACATTTAAATTGCCCTCATTACATTTCTGAGTTAACAGCCCATTGATATTATAAGGGGAGTTCTCATATTTCTTACAGCTGTAGCTTTAGGCTCTCTGCAGACTCGGGGAAAAACTGCATTGGTTTACACTTGGCTTGTATTTTGAAGGATTTCGTTTGTTTGTTCTGTGATTTGTATCTATAAGAGCTAGAAACATAATGTGTTTTAAATTAATCCTTAGTTACAGGATTCAGTTATACAGAAAAATATAGAGTCCACTGCTATGGAATACATGGGGTCCTTATGACACCTAACTAAAGGCAGAACTACTACCTCTTTGGGGCAAGGACTATCTTTTTATTCCATGTTTGTACAGCACCTAACACAATCGGGTCCTGGTCCATGACTGGAACTCCTGGGCAATACATTAATATAAAAAATAATAATAATAATAATAATAGTACCTTACCTTCATTAGCACTAATTACTGTGTCCACAATTATTAGTTTAACTATCATCTATTAATTACATGTGTGGCCTTCTTTTATTAAGAGACACTTAGGATTATTTTCTGAAAGCGCTGCATTCCATTTTATTCCACCACATTTCAGAATGATGTTATTTTTCAGTAAACTTTCTGAAGGAAGACAACTAAATTTAGTTATTTAAAAATTCACCTCTTCACATTCTGCACATTCTATTCTTGCCATCACCTGTTGATTTGCTCAGTAGGGATTATTTTTGGACATGATCCTGATACTGGTTTAGGAGCACAAGAAAGTATCCATTAATATAACCCCAAAAGTCTTTAAAACTAACACGTTTAGAAACACACCAGTGTCTGTTGCTCAATACGTGGAGGAAATAAAATGGGAAGTACAGATTAAATTTAGACTGGGTTTTACGTGCTCTGCTCTTTTAGTTATGATGATAAACTGAATAAATGCCTGCATAAGCTATTAAAGACAAATCTGCTTTTTGTACCAAGTGTGGGTGATTATGAAATACCCTTTAGTGAAAGGAGGGGACGATTTCCTTTATGACAAGACAGTGAGTCTGAGTCATAGGGGAAAGTCAAATGAGTGAGTACAGGAAACAGAAATTCAGATGAAGTTCCATTAAACGAAAGAGATGTATGCAGGATATTAGCTTTATTGGAGAACTCAAGAAAAAGAAAACAAAACAAGAAACAGAATGGGAGCAGGTGAATGTAGTTGTTGGCTTTAGATCACTGCCAGCCTATGGTAAGCTAATTATTTTGGTTATAAACCTTACGTGTTATATAATAAACCTTAAGAGAAAATTGAGCCAGTACGTCATAAACAGAAAAAAATTCCACCCCGGAAACCACAAGAAGGACCAAACAGTCTGGTGAAAACAGAACAAGTTACAGTGTTGCTACTCCTGTCTAGGAAGGGGAAGTACTTTGGCTCTGCTCCTGCACTCATTGAAATCAATAGCAACTAGCTATTAACAGGGCACCGTGTACCTGCTTGTTTGAAGTTTATAGTGTAGTCTGTTTGGGGGGCTGTGCACTAAGCCTAGTGGCCTGCTAGGTAGGGTTGGCAACTTTCTATTTGCAAAAAACTGAACACCCTTGTCTCTCCCCAACCCTCACTCACTCACTGATTTTCACTGGGTTGGGGCAGGGTGTGAGAGGGGGTGAGGGCTCTGGCTGCGTGCTTTGGGGTGGGGCCAAGGATGAGGAGTTTGGGGTGTAGAAGAGGGCTCCGGGATGGGGCAGGGGGTTGAGATACGGGAGGGGGTGAGGGCTCTGGCTGGGGATGCGGGCTCTGGGGTGGGGCCAGAAATGAGGGGTTCAGGGTGTGGAAGGGGGATCCAGGCTGCAGCAGGGGGAGGTGAGAGCTCTGGCTGTGGGCTCTAGGGTGGGGCAGGGGTTTGGGGTGCAGGAGGGGGCTCACAGGTGGGGCAGGGTGTTTGGGCATGGGAGGGGGTGAGGGCTGCAGACTCCAGGCGGCGCTTACCTCAGGCGGCTCCCAGGAAGCAGTGACATCTCCCTCCAGCTCCTAAGCAGAGGTGCAACCACATGGCTCTGCACTCTGCCTGCGCCTGCAGGCATCGCCCATTCAGCTCCCATTGGCCATGGTTCCTGGCCAATGGGAGCTGCTGAGCTGGTGCTAGGGGTGGGAGCAGTGCACAGAGCCCTCATGGTCACCCCTCCACCCAGGAGCCAGAGGGAGATGCTGGCAACTTCCCAGGAGTCTCGCAGAACTGGGTAGGGAGCTTGCCTGTGCCGCAAACTGGACTTTTAATAGGTCCCTTTTCGACCGACCATTCCAGTCGAAAACTGGACACCTGGCAACCCTCTGCTAGGGAAAGCTGAGAGCTTCCTAATGAGGCTCTAGCCTGCTATGCTTTGATCCCTATCCTTAGAATCCCTTAACTAGAAGGCAGGGCTACTCAGGAAGAACAGGGGGTTAAAAAGCCAGCCACTAAGCAACCAGAGCAGCTAGTGAACAGGAGAAGAAAACAGGGAGTTTAGAGAAGGAGCATGAGAGCCAGCTACACCTAACATTCTCTAAAGTTAGGTCAATAAACCCCATCCCCTCTCCAAAAAAACCCCAGCAAAAATAAAAACAATGCAGGCAGAAGTCCAGGAGCAGAATGGAGGCTATCCACTTTATTGCACTGAATGCAGCATGTTTGATTACATGCCTTGTAGGCAGGTGGCATGTGTGCACATTCAGTGCAAGCAGCTTATGGCCCTCAGAGTCCAAGTGCGGGTTCTTGAGACTAGTGGGGCTGAACTGGAGGAGCTAACGGAGGCAGAGAAGTACACAGAGAACACTTTGTGGGACACAGTAAAACGGTCCCACCCCCAGTCTGACGGCCTCTATGCTGCTGAAGAGGATGAATCTTGGGGAAGGAGAACATCTCAAACTGGAGCAGAGGGAAATAATCCCATAGTTGGGACCCACCTTCCAGATGATGTCATGGTATCCTCTTGCACTGAGGATACTCCACCAGGGGAGGGGACTCCAGGTATTAAGAAGAGACCGGCAATAGTACTGGGGGATTTGATTATTAGAAATCCAGACAGTTGGATTTGTTAAGACCTCGAGAACTGCATAGTGAATTGACTGCTAGGTGCGAAGGTTGCAGATCTCCTGAGACATTTACACAGACTTATGTGCAGTGCTGGGGAGGAGCTGGTGGTCGTGGTATGTGTAGGAACTTTGACAAAGTC